GAATGAGTCCGGGAAGATGTCGTTTATTATCTGATCAGGCCGCATCGAGTTCAGCATCCTCCGATCGAGTTCAGCATCCGAGTACTCCAATTTCGGGTGGTACAACACCTCTGATCCGTTTATTGCAGCAATAAGGACAATCCAAATCGAAATGATGTTCGATTTGGATTGTCCTTATTGCTGCAATAAATAGTATACTCAATCGGTCGGTCAGTTGTACACATGCACATCGACAGTTCTGAGTACACATTGCAAGTGCTTGAAAATTACACGGTGAAGTTCCAACTCCCACGATAATGAGGATGTAATTTTGCTGTTCCCTGAGCTGATACCACAACTCGTGCGTAAGTCGCGCTTCAAATTGAATTACTGACCACGCGTTTCGCGTGGTCAGTGTTTAAATTTGAAGCCCGAACGTTTCGCTGTCCAGATGTTCTGCGGAAGAGTTTCACGGGAAGTCTGAGTTTCGCAGGAGCCCATAGCCCCAAGAGCATACGTTGGACAAATACCGATGGTTCCAAAGTTTCATCAAACCTAGCGCATCATCATGAAGGCAACGCACGCCCAGGCGTATATTGCAACGGTGACATCTCTCCAGGAAATATCCCCTTCCACTTGCTATTTGATTCTTTCTTCGGACCCCTTGAATAATAGAATTGTAGAGCCAGTGCTGAGAATTCCTACATTAAAATCCATACGAATGTTATGTACTTTTCCACATCTAAATTAGAGTCAGCTGTCACGATATACTTGAATCTTGAAATTCGCAGGATAAACGAGAGTTAGTTCCAAAAGCTGGGTCCAAGAAACGCACACGATTGTTTTGCAGAGCTTAAGCTATGAACTACTGCCCCAAAAGCACAGGCATCGAGTACTTTGGCAGGCAAAAGGGCGAAAAGCATCCGAGTTGCAAAATCCACCTGCAACAGGCGGGTGATGACGGCTTCAGCTGCGCCAGTTATACTCATCAAGGTAGCCAGCGCCTCATTGTCGACGGCCCCATTTCCCTCGCCAGCAACCTAAAGCATCTAGCGGCGACTGAAAATCCGACAATTCTCAGGTGTGGGCAAATCTTTCAACTATCTGACTTCCTGGACGCGGAAACCGATCCAGAACTGCGCCAAGGATCCAAACTCATAACACCACCGGCGTGTGCCCTTTCTCCGGTACCCTTTTCCTCGCTAGAGTCACTCTTGCGAGGAAAAAGATACAGAGAGAGGGCACACTCTTGAGTCACAGAGGTCCGCCACAATCGGTGATGTAGAATGTGAGTGCAGAGCTCAGCACTCAGATTCTAGATCAAGGAATGAGAGATTCTCTTACGTCTGTCAATTTAAGCTCGGGCTGATTGATGGTAGCGCCCGAATCCGTTTTGCGATGTGATCCCCCCACACGTACAATTCTGAGGGCAACTGTCTGATAAATGTTTGCCCTCAGAATTGTACGTGGCGCGGAATCAATGAATGGCGCACTGTCGGCGTCACTGACAACATTTCGAAATATCATTAAACGTTGTTCAGCGCATTCAACGTTGACAGATTCAAACGCTATTCAAATCTGTGAGTTACAATTACGGGTTTGAACGCGTGTAAATTTTCTTCCACTTTTGGCTACGCGGGAGAAACTTGTATAAATGCACCGGCAGTCGTCACAATTCACACTCTCACGGACTACAGTTCAGCTGGCACTTGTGACCTGCACGGTAGACCGTACCTCCGAGCTGCAATTATTTTCCTGAGTACAGGAATAAGTAAATAACCAAATAACTGAACCTGCTTGTATTTCTTCTATGACTTGACTTTTTTGGGTTCTTTTTCTCCCTATGTAACCAAGGCTACATCGCACGAGAGGATGTAACCTTGGTTACATAGGGAGAAAAAGAACCCAATGAAACTTCATCGCTCTCGTGCATTCTATGAGAATCGCACAAGAGCGATGAAGTTTCATTGCAAGAAATGCAATGAGGCTTTTCTTAGGTGTAGTAAGTTGCACTCATGAAAGCAAAACTACTCTCTGCGCCGGGTGTTGGACTTCAATGAAAGATGCCAAAAACAGATTATAAGTTTTCCTTATAGACAAGAGTGACGACTCCATGCCGGAGTAAAGAGGCTGTAATATGCATCTCGATCGACTGAAACTGTATTGACCTACGTGGATAAACGTGAATGGTTGTAGCCTGCAACCATCCAGTGTTGCCGCACAACCAAATTTTTCGAGGCATGCCCGTGCCCCCATGCCCGTATCACAAAATATATATATATATATATATATATATTCTATCCATCGAAAATGTACGTAGGTGAAATTCAAACCGAAAAGCTCCTATAACTTTGTTTCCACGTACGTACATGCGTTGCATGGAAGAATGCAAATAATGCATGCCCCCTGCCCTCGCCCGGGGGCATGCCTTTCAGGTTGTGCCTCCAACACTAGTTGCAAGCCAACTTACCCATCAAATTAGTTGCCATCAAATTACTATTTCAGCGGAAGGTCACGAGTACTACATTGTCCACGTGAAAACAATTCGTGTTTTGGTCTACAACCTGAACCGAATGCTCATGGATAAGGTGCAGATAACTCCCTTTCCTTCCCAGCTCAAGACTAACCTCATTTTTTATAGCTTCCAGCTTTACAACTTCAAATTATCTTGTGCTCAATTCTTGCAGATTTCCATAAGAAAGTTTATTCCAAAAGATGCAAATTGATTGCATGAATTTCAACATTTTTCAGAAAGACATCATAAATGATATAAGCGATTTATAGCCTGATTGCTTATTTCTAAATGTTAGTGTTTCTATTCATGATTATTTATGATTCCAAAAAAAAATTTGTAAATATTGATATTTTTCACTTGCATGTTTGACCAATGTTCATGTAAAATTTTAAGAACCTCAAACATAGAAGTGATTGGATTCCACCTAAGTTCATTTATGTTTCATACATAAAATGAACATCTCAAGACTAACCTCATTTTTCTTTTATAGCTTCCGTTTTTATCTTGTGCTCAATTCTTGCAGATTTACATAAGAAAGTTTATTCCAAAAGATGCAAATTGATTGCATGAGTTTTAATATTTTTCAGAAAGACATCACAAATGATATAAGCAATTTATAACCTGATTTCTTGTTTCTAAATGTTAGTGTTTCTATTCATGATTATCTACAATTCCAAACAAAAAAAAATGTAAAAATTGATGTTTTTTCACTTGCATGTTTGACCAATGTTCATATAAAATTTCAAGAACCTCAAACATAGAAGTGATTTTTTCTAGATAAAAATTTATTTATTATTTCTTCGCATTTATTTTAGATAATTACTTAGATCTCATTGAAAAATCTGTACTATTGTAAATGGAGCCTATCATTTTCAAAAATCGGCGGTATTCGAATGATGATATACATCCTTACTCTGGTTCATAACTCATAGCACTAGTGTGGTGTTAGAAAATAATTCTCAGAATGATATTTGAATTCTCGAATTTTCAACACCTAGAACAATCCAGAATTAACCTCATCAGTTTCTTTTTTCATGGGAGTGAACGAAGACACCGGTATAAATGGTTAAATTCTAGATATGTAACATTTCCCGAAGACCCCTGAGGTTATAAGCGCCACCGAAATTCTTGTCATCCCGGCTGTTGTGATGCGCTGAATCGTGCCTGCATCCGTAGACGAAAAAATAGGTTAAAGCTTCAATAGGAAGACGAGAGATGTGGATTGGCAGTTGTTAGACTGGAAATCATTTCAGATACATGTCTCTAAGTTGCAAACCTCTTATATTTTCAAGCTAAGTCGAGAACAAAAGTACAAAGAGATGCATGCCCTCTAGTGTAGACTGGTAGGCCATGCCATGGTATTGAACGGGGGGTTACGACTAACAAAAGGAGAAATGGCAAAGCAAACTGGAACTCTCTGTTTAATCTTGAAAGACTAGAAAGCTAGTAATAAAAGTCAACCAAAATCCTTTTGCGAGCCTATTGAGGTGAAAGCCTTAATAGGCTGCCCTTCACCAGTTCTCCACGTCAGAGTTGCCAAGTCAGTGCTCGCATCCCATCATCTCATCATCTTTCACCCACGCCATTCTTCGACCTTATTACCTTGGACCCAGGTCTGCTCTTCTTCGGGTGTTCCATTCCTGTCCAACTTTTTTCATTTGGTCATGGGACCTGTCGAACTTGAGTGCAAATGCAATGTGGACTCTGTTTTGCTACATTTGTGTTAAAAGATGTGTTAAAAGCTTTGTGTGGAGAGATCAATAAGAATTCGAGAGCGAAGATTCAAACTACAGTACAAAGATACGTACGGTTCTGACGGGGTTCGCAGGCGGCCAGGCGCTCGGGCGCAGATCAATCAAGACCTTGGAGGTCGGTGTGAGCGCATAGAGGCCAAGAGGCGCCTCAGCGCAGATGAGTCAAGACCTTTTCGGGAGCCTAAAGTCGCAATTAGTCAAGACCTTGGAGGTCCGTGGGAGCGCATAGAGGCCAAGACGCGCCCCAGCGCAAATCAGTCAAGATCCTTGCGGGGCAATGTTCGGGGCGAGAGACAGCTGCTTCCAATTTATACGCCCGCCTGCGCCTACAGAGGCATCCCTGCTTCTTGGGTGAACGTATGGCATCAGACATGTGTCACTAGCTCGAATTCAAATTCGAGTTTGAATTTGACCGGCCCACACGCGGGCTGTTTGTCATGGGGCCGAGCAACGGTACCGTCGGAAATTCCTTATTTAAAGCTGGTGGGGCCGGGGCGATTAGGGACGAGGGAGTTAGAGTGTGCTTGTTTTAAGCTCTCGTGTCTTTGGACAACCGTCAGCAGAGCATGATGGTATTTGTTGGCCTGGATGCTTCGTGAGTCTGAGTGTGTGCTTGTATTCCACTGGGCTCTCGGAGGGCGACTGGCGGTGGACTTGTTCTCCTTGCTCTACCGGACGATCGTTCCCGTGCCCAGGGAACGATCGTCCAGTAGAGCAAGGTCAATCACTTTGAGGAATTTGCAAGGTCATATGGTGTCGACATATTCTGTCCGGAGTGACAGAATTTGTTCGTTCGATTGACGAAATTTGCTCTGCTATATGTGGACGAGAGAATTTGGCAGTTCCTTTCCGACGAGCACATCGATAGAATACGAGCATTCCTGCCGCCGTCGAGCCTGTTCGCTTCCGTGCGCAGGCGGTGGAACCTGAGAGGGAGGCTCGGAGGCGGAGACGGTATCTGATGGGATAATGTGGATGAAGCGCACAGACTTGGTATAAAGAGCTGCCATGGGGGAATTCGAGTCACAATCCGACGCCTGGGAAGCTAGGAAGTCCGATTGCGATTCTATGCCGCCCCCGGTTCCGATTCCGAGTCGAAGGGTGGCGAGACTCAGTCCATCGCTGAAACGAGAAAAACTGACAGCGCTCCCTCGTCGATCTGAACAGGTAAGTCCAAGCTGGATGCCTCTCGCCCGCCAAGTATAAAGTGCACGGAGACTCGAGCGAAATTCGCCAAGGCCCGATCTTCTTGGTCGAATCTGTGTGGGAGCCCGATCTTTGTTGTCGAATGAAAACGACGGGAGGGGTCGGAGAGGTAGAGGAAGAGCTAGGCTCTTCAGGAAAAGAAAAAATTAATTTTCTCACGATAGAATTTTGTTTGTGGGTGTTGGCACGATTGAACTTTTTTTGTGGGCGTCGGCAGGAACGGAGGTTAAGGCCAAGTACGAGGGCGTCATGGCGCGTCTCAAATCCCGCTTGGAATTGTCTCTTTACGGCAAGAGATTTTTCCAGCGAATGCAGGTGGCGCTGCGAAGTGGATGGGCGTGCTTGTTTGCAGGATGCGTCGTGCAATTCGGCTCGCCCATGAACCACTGGCTGGCCATTCCCTTCTTCTCTCTAGTCATCTGCCTGAATATCATCGACTCGAGCATTGGCGCAGTTCTGCGAACTTCTGTCAGTGTCGTGGTCGGGATGCTGGAAGCCATGACGGCCGGGACTCTCCTTTATTTGATTCTCGGGACCGACATGTCGCTGGTGTTGACCATTTTTTGCGTCTTCGTCTGCAGCTTCTGCGTAGCTTATCCGACGAGGCTGGTCGGTCAAGAGATGGCCAGAAAAAGTGTCGCTTGCGCTCATAGGAATAATTTTCACGGGCGCATACAATGGAATGAACGACGGGAGCCTTTTATTTCTCGTCCGACTGATGTGCACGACTGATGTTTGGAGTCTTTTGCGCCCTTCTCGCGGTTTGCATTCCAGTTCCCGGGCTAGCCTTTTGGGAGGTACTGTCAAGCTTCTCTCCCCTTACATATTGCACTGCAAGCACATTCAGCGCAAACCTCTCCCCTTCCATACTGCTGCTCGGAGTTTCTTCCTCCGACTCTTCAAATTTTCGAATATGACAAGTTGCTGCTGTTGTTTCGGTTCTTGTGGTTCTCGTGCATTCATGGGTCCAAATAAAGTTCTGCTCCATCAGGTGATTTATGAAGAGATTCCCAGAAGACCATGGCATTGCGCAAGTTCTGTCCTACGAGATACTCTACCCGCCCTTCTGTGCTAGCCTGGTCGAGAGGGTACTTTTCCCCCTTCCTTCCTGCCATGGCGAATCGAAAGGGTCCGGAACTTAGCAATCTCTTTATGTTCAGTTCCAGATTACAATTTAGGTTCCTGATTCACAAGCCCTTTACCTGCAGTCCCGTCATTCCCGTCCATTGACTTGTCGAATCCATAATTCCGTCGCGGCGGTGAAAATGTGATCTGAGCTTGACCTTATTTCACTTCTCAATTAAGGTGCGGGACAGCGCTAAGTCCACTGTGAAGGGAGCCTCGAAACTCTACAGGACGTTGACGGAGGCATTTTGCGCCAAGGAAGTGAGCAAGATGTCGTCAATTTTTCTGCACGCTAAATTCCTGGCGAAAACAGCTGCAATCAGTCTGGAGGATCATAATAATAAATTGGTATGTCGTCACCATTGACAATGTCGATTCCATACGCGGTGAGATTACAGAGAAAATACAGCAGCCCTGCCTGATCCTTGCAAGTAAGCGGAGAGTTTGTGAACGAGTGACATCGAGAATTGTGTCAGGTTCTGGCTGGACCTCTACATTCAAGTTATCCATTCTTCATGACGTTGTGTTTTGTACCACCAGGGCGATGCCTACTGGGAGTTGCGAGGGCTGAACATAATCCCATCACTGAAGCGGATGACCGAGGGGCTGAATGTGCTCAAACTGCACATGATGGGCATGTGCATGGCCCTGCAGTCAGGACTGATTTTGCAGTACATGCCCGGGACGATGGTTGTGATTCTGAAGGACAACTTGAAACGCCTCGTAGATCGCAGCAAGCAGATGCTTGATCTCACAGTGAGGTTGAAGAAGTCCAAGTCGGCACTGATCCTCAAAGAATCGCTGCTGGAATTGGCTAAGAAAGATCTGAACTCTTTTGACCATACCCTGAAGGAAGCTAGAGAGAAGAGTTACTACATCAAGCTCAAAGACGAGGATGAAAGCCTCCACAAGATCATCACCAACGCCAATCCAGAGGAGCAAATCACTGCTGCCGACAAGGGAGTGAAAAACCTCTTCCAAAGCATGGTGCCCACTTACTTTTTCCTCTTCAACCTCAGACTCTACTACACGGAGACGATGCAGATGCTCGACTGCGGAGAGGTGGCCGACCCCATCCAAGACATCGGCAACACAAGCTTCCACATGCCCGTGCTGCACCACGAGGTCCAGGACGGGCTTGCCGATACAGTGCAGGTGGTGGTGACTCCCGTGTCCGAGGAGGAGGCCAGAGAGCCGCTCAAGAATCCCATGCATAGAGCGGAGCATGTAGTTCCTCTGGGCGACGAGAAGGATGCCGGACTAGCAGCAGATCCACAGCACGCGACGTTCAGCAGGACTCTGTCCAACCCCATCACATTCAAGTGCATGGTGTGCCAGCGCCTGAAGAAAGAGCAGGCGGCCGCAGGACCTCAGGAGGACATAGCGGATGCTCCTTTGACGTGGTTAGTGAAGCAAGGGTGGAAGCGGTTCAAGCGAGAGCAGGCCCTCAGGGCTTTCAAGGTCTCGTTGGCTATGTCGCTTGCCGCCCTGGCAGGCTGCATGTACAACGAGGCCTACGCATTCTGGGCCATGGTGTCGGTGGCCTTCATCATGCAGAACCAACAGGGCGGATCGTTCCGCATGGCTAATCTCAGGCTTCAGGGGACCGTGCTCGGGTCCATTTACGCGTATTTGATGTTGAATCTGATGAGCAAGCATCCCCAGCTGCTGCTCCTGGCCCTGGTTCCGTGGGTTGTGCTGCTCAGCTATCTTCGGTTCAGCAAACTGTTCGGAGCATCCGGGGTCATCGCCGGTCTGACGGCAGCCATCGTCATGCTGGGAGCCGAGGGAGGAATGTCCATCCAACAACTGGCGGTTGTCAGGATCACCCAGAATTTTATCGGAGTGCTGGCTCTGATCCTCGTCGAGACGATTATCTGGCCGGAGAGAGCAGTCATTTTGTCGAGGAGAGAGTTGGTCTTGAGTTTGATCGACCTCAGGGACTGCGTCAAGGCCGTGGTCGCGGTGTATACCGGGCATCATTGCCCCGAGCATAGGAAACTCGTGGTCCTGGACATCAAGAAGCTGGAGGGCCAGATTCGTGCCAGGATTGCTGATCAGACGATACTTCAGAGCGAGGTGGTGATGGAGCCCGAATTGTGGAGCCATCCGTTCCCGGCAGAAATATATTCCAAGCTGTTGCACATCCAAAGCCGCATGCACGATTTGCTCCACTTCATGGTGTGCTCGCTGCACGCTGCCACCGAGGAGTGCTTGAGCGAGCAGATTCGCAAGCTGGTGGGCCCTCTCCAGACTTCGCTCGTCGCATTGGAGGACGAGGTGCTGTCGTCTCTGCATCTCCTGCAGGAGCTCCTGCAAATCGGCCCCAACACGCTCGATGTCCTGTCCAAGGCCTCGGGCTGTGACGACGAAGAAAGGCAGTTGTGTCGAATCCCATCCCGTAGCGATAAGTCTTTCAAGGATCTGCGCAAGATGCTGGGGCGAGTGCATCCTCTGCTGGTGCTGGAATGCGAGGAGAGAAACATCGATGGAACTCCGATGTCCCTGAAGAGAACGATGGATGCCTTCGAGGCCAGCTACGAGCAGGTGGTATCGGGTTTCATCGCCAACAAGAAGGCCAATCCGGAAGCTTCCATCTTGAGCAACGCTGCCATGCTTTCTTTCAGTGCCCTCACCTTCAGCTTACAGTCTCTTCTGGGCGAGACGGTGGAGCTGGAAAAGGCAGTGCACGAGCTTCTACACTTCGAGAATCCTTGGAGCGTTCTGGACTTCTGGGAATCCTTTCCAGGTGCGGACGAAGAGTGCCCCATTTGTGTCAACGCTAATGCGCATGCACCCCACGATCATGCTCCACATGAGTGAATTGTAAATGCACGACTTCCCCATACCTCCCCCCTGAGTGTACTTTGCGCGAATCGGTGAACACTTTGATTGCCACATTCATTTGAGGGCAAATTGCTCCGGAGAAAGCAACGGGCCTGATGTGCCAGCACTCCGAAGTGGAATTGCGGGCGCAAGCAGTGCTAGATCTTCTCTACTATACTGTACAATAGAGATTGGAAAAAATGCTACAGATCGATTACGTTGCAATTTTGTATCATACAGTTGGCTCGCAAGGGTAGTGCACGTTGTTCAATTTTGAGCTTGTAACAACACATTATGGATATATATGTACGAGAGGACACAACCTCGAAGTCATAAAAATTCATATATACATATAAATAAATAAATATTCGGGCTGTCGAAACTTCAATTCTACAGCCGTATATCACACGAAGCAATGTTTGGTTGTTTATCGAGTTGAAGTAAAAAGATCATTACCAAGTTTCATCAATCAGTGTCTAGAATTTAGTTGCAGCAACTACCACATCTGGTTAGTGGTCGTCTGTACTTTTACACCCCTCTACTATCCATACATCCTGGCCATGCAACGTCCTCTGGTCCCCATTCAAGGAGGGGACTTGCAGGGTATATACTGTTTCTCTTTCACGTCGCTATACTCCGGCCCAATGTGCATATATCTGCAAATTTGCCCACCTGTCACATTTCACATGATATTTAATGTGCAACAATTAGATGTTTCAGATAAAATCTCTCTAGCCCTCAGCTTCGACGAACTATTTTAGCGAAATACTTGTAGGGCTAATTGAAAGTACTTGTCAAATGAAGCCAATCTCTGTGATTTCTACTCTTACTAAAGACTGAGGCTCAAAGCAATTCTAAACCATCATCTCAAGAGAATCCGAGTAAGGAGTTGCAATTAGGACTTACTGAAGTGCCTGCTCACCCTAAAGTGAGCCCTGCTGCTAACATGGTCGAGATGTGCGTATCCACGACTGAGTGCTCCTTGGAAACGCCCAAGTCCGCTAATTTGGCGACCAGATTCTCATCCAGCAGGATATTGGCCGGTTTCACGCCTCTGTATCTGAACGACAGGTGGGTCCTGCACATGAGCACATCAGCCTCCGACTGCGAACAATATCGAATGAACTTGGAGGTGGTCGGACTCAACGAGTTGTTTTCACCTACCAGATGTGAATAGCCCATGCAATGGGTGAAAAGAATTCTTGTCGGTGAAAAAAAATTCAGTCTGATTATGCTCCGCTCAGCCTCTGCACCAAACTGTCTGCCCAGTTTCACAAAATATGTTTCATCATCTTCTTCTGAGACGCCAGCCAGAGGCATGTGATACCTGTAGAAGTTCCTCAATAAAGCTCGTCCAGACTACTGCATTAGACTTCCTGCACTTCATTCTGTCCTACAGCGGAAGCAGGGACAAAGTAATAAGCAAGGTACAGGTCTAGCGAGTTTTAACTTTTTGGTCCAAATACAAGATTGTACCAAAAAGACAGATTGTGTAAAACTGTTTCATATGCTGATCAGATCTTGCTGAACTGCACGTATATAATTTACATGCATTTGTCGTTTCTTTCAATTACCGCCTGCATCTAGATACTTAATGGAACTACGGGAATCAAGCAACAGGATGCTCAAGCATATTATCACACATAGTTTATGGAAGGAAGAAACTCAACAAATTCAATTCACCGTGAGGTGTTTCATCAACTCAGAGATGACGCACAGAAGACAATGATAGCAATTATCTAGAATGAGATCGAAACCAGACAATACGCCGTCTGGACTTGCGGATCACCAAGTATCCGGATATTTCAAACTAGCTCACAGATCACAAAAAGCCGCCAACATCTGAACAGTGGAGAATCAGTGCGGCGGTGACAGGACTCAAGAGACCGAATTCTTGATCGAGAGAAGCCGGTGAGTCTTAAGTTCGTTGGCTAAGCAGAAGAGAGCTCTCGAGAAAAAGACATCAGAAATAAATGTTGATGGTGGAATGTGCGCAAAAGTAAGTGTCTTTACGATGTAGGTCAACCGTACACTGCAAAATAAGGGAAAATCTGTTAGAAATCAAAGAGACCTATTCTCTGAATGGACCAAGAGTCCACAGAGGCATGTGATGCCTCTGTGGACTCTTGGCGTTTCTTATTACAAACCCACGAGCTTGACATCGATGAACAGGTTTAATTCATGTTAATTACACTCCAGTTCATCAAAAAGCACTAGACTCTAAGATCGACATAAGAAGCATTTTGACAACTTTCTATACGAAGCGAATGAGTCCGGGAAGATGTCGTTTATTATCTGATCAGGCCGCATCGAGTTCAGCATCCTCCGATCGAGTTCAGCATCCGAGTACTCCAATTTCGGGTGGTACAACACCTCTGATCCGTTTATTGCAGCAATAAGGACAATCCAAATCGAAATGATGTTCGATTTGGATTGTCCTTATTGCTGCAATAAATAGTATACTCAATCGGTCGGTCAGTTGTACACATGCACATCGACAGTTCTGAGTACACATTGCAAGTGCTTGAAAATTACACGGTGAAGTTCCAACTCCCACGATAATGAGGATGTAATTTTGCTGTTCCCTGAGCTGATACCACAACTCGTGCGTAAGTCGCGCTTCAAATTGAATTACTGACCACGCGTTTCGCGTGGTCAGTGTTTAAATTTGAAGCCCGAACGTTTCGCTGTCCAGATGTTCTGCGGAAGAGTTTCACGGGAAGTCTGAGTTTCGCAGGAGCCCATAGCCCCAAGAGCATACGTTGGACAAATACCGATGGTTCCAAAGTTTCATCAAACCTAGCGCATCATCATGAAGGCAACGCACGCCCAGGCGTATATTGCAACGGTGACATCTCTCCAGGAAATATCCCCTTCCACTTGCTATTTGATTCTTTCTTCGGACCCCTTGAATAATAGAATTGTAGAGCCAGTGCTGAGAATTCCTACATTAAAATCCATACGAATGTTATGTACTTTTCCACATCTAAATTAGAGTCAGCTGTCACGATATACTTGAATCTTGAAATTCGCAGGATAAACGAGAGTTAGTTCCAAAAGCTGGGTCCAAGAAACGCACACGATTGTTTTGCAGAGCTTAAGCTATGAACTACTGCCCCAAAAGCACAGGCATCGAGTACTTTGGCAGGCAAAAGGGCGAAAAGCATCCGAGTTGCAAAATCCACCTGCAACAGGCGGGTGATGACGGCTTCAGCTGCGCCAGTTATACTCATCAAGGTAGCCAGCGCCTCATTGTCGACGGCCCCATTTCCCTCGCCAGCAACCTAAAGCATCTAGCGGCGACTGAAAATCCGACAATTCTCAGGTGTGGGCAAATCTTTCAACTATCTGACTTCCTGGACGCGGAAACCGATCCAGAACTGCGCCAAGGATCCAAACTCATAACACCACCGGCGTGTGCCCTTTCTCCGGTACCCTTTTCCTCGCTAGAGTCACTCTTGCGAGGAAAAAGATACAGAGAGAGGGCACACTCTTGAGTCACAGAGGTCCGCCACAATCGGTGATGTAGAATGTGAGTGCAGAGCTCAGCACTCAGATTCTAGATCAAGGAATGAGAGATTCTCTTACGTCTGTCAATTTAAGCTCGGGCTGATTGATGGTAGCGCCCGAATCCGTTTTGCGATGTGATCCCCCCACACGTACAATTCTGAGGGCAACTGTCTGATAAATGTTTGCCCTCAGAATTGTACGTGGCGCGGAATCAATGAATGGCGCACTGTCGGCGTCACTGACAACATTTCGAAATATCATTAAACGTTGTTCAGCGCATTCAACGTTGACAGATTCAAACGCTATTCAAATCTGTGAGTTACAATTACGGGTTTGAACGCGTGTAAATTTTCTTCCACTTTTGGCTACGCGGGAGAAACTTGTATAAATGCACCGGCAGTCGTCACAATTCACACTCTCACGGACTACAGTTCAGCTGGCACTTGTGACCTGCACGGTAGACCGTACCTCCGAGCTGCAATTATTTTCCTGAGTACAGGAATAAGTAAATAACCAAATAACTGAACCTGCTTGTATTTCTTCTATGACTTGACTTTTTTGGGTTCTTTTTCTCCCTATGTAACCAAGGCTACATCGCACGAGAGGATGTAACCTTGGTTACATAGGGAGAAAAAGAACCCAATGAAACTTCATCGCTCTCGTGCATTCTATGAGAATCGCACAAGAGCGATGAAGTTTCATTGCAAGAAATGCAATGAGGCTTTTCTTAGGTGTAGTAAGTTGCACTCATGAAAGCAAAACTACTCTCTGCGCCGGGTGTTGGACTTCAATGAAAGATGCCAAAAACAGATTATAAGTTTTCCTTATAGACAAGAGTGACGACTCCATGCCGGAGTAAAGAGGCTGTAATATGCATCTCGATCGACTGAAACTGTATTGACCTACGTGGATAAACGTGAATGGTTGTAGCCTGCAACCATCCAGTGTTGCCGCACAACCAAATTTTTCGAGGCATGCCCGTGCCCCCATGCCCGTATCACAAAATATATATATATATATATATATATTCTATCCATCGAAAATGTACGTAGGTGAAATTCAAACCGAAAAGCTCCTATAACTTTGTTTCCACGTACGTACATGCGTTGCATGGAAGAATGCAAATAATGCATGCCCCCTGCCCTCGCCCGGGGGCATGCCTTTCAGGTTGTGCCTCCAACACTAGTTGCAAGCCAACTTACCCATCAAATTAGTTGCCATCAAATTACTATTTCAGCGGAAGGTCACGAGTACTACATTGTCCACGTGAAAACAATTCGTGTTTTGGTCTACAACCTGAACCGAATGCTCATGGATAAGGTGCAGATAACTCCCTTTCCTTCCCAGCTCAAGACTAACCTCATTTTTTATAGCTTCCAGCTTTACAACTTCAAATTATCTTGTGCTCAATTCTTGCAGATTTCCATAAGAAAGTTTATTCCAAAAGATGCAAATTGATTGCATGAATTTCAACATTTTTCAGAAAGACATCATAAATGATATAAGCGATTTATAGCCTGATTGCTTATTTCTAAATGTTAGTGTTTCTATTCATGATTATTTATGATTCCAAAAAAAAATTTGTAAATATTGATATTTTTCACTTGCATGTTTGACCAATGTTCATGTAAAATTTTAAGAACCTCAAACATAGAAGTGATTGGATTCCACCTAAGTTCATTTATGTTTCATACATAAAATGAACATCTCAAGACTAACCTCATTTTTCTTTTATAGCTTCCGTTTTTATCTTGTGCTCAATTCTTGCAGATTTACATAAGAAAGTTTATTCCAAAAGATGCAAATTGATTGCATGAGTTTTAATATTTTTCAGAAAGACATCACAAATGATATAAGCAATT